GCACAATCCTACTGAGTCTTCAGGAGGGTGCAAGGGCCTCGCTGCTTGCACAGACTTCGATGTGAATTAAAAGCATAAAGCACCAAGCAGGATCATGTCTATGGTGGGGAAAGATAACTTCCCCCGGGCATTAAATCATACCATGAGTAGATATATCCAATTCTACTTCTCGATCCACAGCAATTAGAATTGGAGAAGGCCTGTTAGCTCAACCTGTCCTATGGTTGTGTTCTTCAGAGCCATGTACATCTATTACGAGGACACAGAAATGGTGCCTTAAATAGGCAAAACAATCACACTACGTTTTGCCAAAATTCCTCCAGCGTGCTGTTTACTCACATCTTTATAACAAACATCGTAAGCTTTTTCCCAACATACTTAACTCTGTGTTTAAGGACTTTGAAGTTTCCTTTCAGTATTGCCTTTTCTGATTTAACCTATGACATGTGTTAGCCCTTGCGGTGAACCCAGTCTTCCATGATAAATTGCCGTCAAAAGTGTTAGGATGTGCATGACTGAGAATGAATGTTGTTTTCCTGAGAGGGTGACCTGCCTGCTGTTTTCTTTATTTCCCAGTTTCAATTCTGCCTTCATTCAGAGGCTTCTTGTGTGATCTACCAGCTTTTCACTGATTCCACTACCACAAGAATCTCCTCTGCCACCAATAAGGGCACATGGCATTTGGGGTAAAATAAGATTAGAAACCCAAGCAAACAATTCTCTGCGAGTCCTTTCTGAGAGAGAGGGAGGTTAATCCTACCTCTAAGCAGATCAGACCATCAGTTACAGCTCACTGAAAACACATAACCTATGACCTTTTCTGGTTTAAACCCTAGTGTAATATTTCCTCTTGACAGAGACACACAGCATTTTAAATGACAAAAAGAAACGCCTCGTATCCTAAAGTCATCATGCCTGTGGCTCCTACATACCTCTGGCCTTCACAATAAGATCTCTATGAAGTCCTTTCACCCCTTCTCAAGATACGACGGATCAATCCTGACTGTAAGGCTTCTACTTGCATGTCCTGTACCACGTACCTCAGTCACACTTGGCATTAGATATAGTAAAAGTAGTACATGAATACAGGTTTAGGTATTTTCAGTTTTACAAATCCAGGCGCTTTTGAGGATAATTCTGTTTTAACAAGGTAGCATGTTCAGTGTTCCAAACTGAAAGCCAATTTATTTTCAGAACAAAACAAACCCTGCTTGCCTTTGAGGGGGGGGGGGATTGTTTGGTAGTGTTTTTGTGTTGTGTTTTTTTTTTTTTTAATCCTACCATTTGCATATAGCGTGTTTGAGCTCTGAAAACTAAAACCATTCAAAAGAATTTCTATAAATACCTATTCTTCTCCCTCTGGAGTCCAGTCATGAATAATTACATAGGACTATGTAATTTAAAGGTAATTTTTGACCACAGAAATTTTTTTTCCTGTGAGATTCTCAGAGTACAGCATGTTGTACCTGTATTTTTTTAAAACATCTTTACAATTTATTATGAACAGACCGTGTCTGAAGCTACAGTTGAATGAATGAATATTTTTTTCATGTTTTAGGCATTTTTGTTCAAGTAATTTCTTATTCAGATGACTATTAGATGAGCAGTTTGTCTGCAGGATGTATTAGAGCTAGCAAAAATAACTGCAAAATAGAACATTCACTGTGAACCTCACCAAAGCTTTTTTCATTCTCGGTACTTCTCAATACTGAAAAGCAAATACAAAACTTGTGCATTACTCTGATAACTTCTCCCAACAACTTTTCTGCTTCACTACCCAAATTTTCAATGCCCACAGTTTGTTCAAGGTCATAAACCCTTCCTGGATTAATTAAGAACCTCAGTGGAAAAAAAAAAAAAAAAAAAAAGACTTGCTAGCTTAAGTGATGTGGTCAAATACCTTTAACACACACAGTAGACACGATCAGACTCCAGGGTCAGATACTAAAGGAAACAAACAACAACAAAAAAGAAAGTGCCTGGAAATCCTTTGTTACTGCCTGACCCGTTCTGGATAACAAGCACATGTTTGAAGGTGCCTCTGAGTAGGGGCAGGCAGGAGATGAATTCCAATGTACTAACAGACAGCATGGAAACCCAATCTAATCTAGTTTAGCAAATTTCTGGCCTGGAAATGAATGTCAGGTAAAATTCAATCTGTTTAGATGATGGGGTCAAGAATAGAATGATGGAAGACAGCCCAAGACTTCTAATTGTGATTATCTGACTTCTAATTGCCCCTGATCAAAGGCAAAATGGGAAATTGGACTCCTACCAACGTAAACATGAACCATAAAGGAATTCCAATCAGGTGATATTCATTTTACTTTAGATTCAGCTTTCTTTGAGACTAAAGGTAAAAAAGTGTAATTATATAACCTGAAATCCAACAGACCAGCTGCTCTAGCTAATAGATAATCGGGGAGAATGTTAGCCATGTCATAATGCATGCTCTTAATATTTCAAGACAATCCAATATAAAGTGTATTCATTTGTGCGGACTGACAAAGGGAACCGTCACTGTGGAGTAACAAACTTCATACACATGCTAGTGAAATAAGATAATAGGAATAGCATTCGATACCATGGATTACATAGGCACGTCTTACGGGAAATCCTCCATGCGGGGGAATCGTGCTATGTATGAAGCCAAGCAGTTTTCTCTACTCAAAGCAATAGTAGCGAAAAATGCTGTTCCCTTATTCCATTACAAACACAGAAGTATACATATACATAGGTATAATTTTATGATGCTTATTCTCCGTAGCAACCTATACAAAAACCTGACTTCTAACTCTAGCTGCTCTAACACGTGAATTTATTTAGCAATGAAAGCTGGAGGGGAGTTGCTTCCTTTTAAAGCTCTTAAGTTTAAGTTCAGGTCATACAGATTGTGGCCTTGCAATGACTCTGGACAATAAAAAAGAAATAAGCAAGGATTCTCCTTGCTAAAATGACTTTCTTTTCTTTTAAAAGAGCTCTGTCATCAACTAAGTCAAGTCACATAAGGACATGCTGTTGTTCTCCAAGACGTGAGAGAATCTACTTCAATGCTTTGTATCGGGAATGATTAAATAATGTTTTTGTTTGAATCAGATACTGTTAGAACATATAGCGAGCCTAGTATTTTTCCTCAGTACCTGCTTCAAATATCTTGCACTGGATAGTGGCCAACCATACGCTGAAGTATCTACATTGTTCACAAACTGACTAAAAGCATTACACGTACATACCAAACTGAGCAGCATTTTATTTCAACATCTGAAGTTCTTATAGTATTTAACATTTCAGCACTGGATCCATATTACTTTAGCTGCAGTAATATAAATGGCAAAAATAACGTGCTCAATACCGAGGCATTGTTAAGGTGATCAAAATAGTACGCTGAGATACCGTATCTGTCAGCAATTTTCACATAGCCTATCAAAAGTAAAATATTCTTTTGTGAATAATAAATTATGATGCATTCATCTTTCCAGAAATCACTCAATCCTGTCAACAAAGTCCAATTATACAAACCTAGTTTTGCAGTGTCTGGACTAGTATAGTTCTCTACGTATTTAAATTATTAACGTGTAAAATAATTTAACAGCATCTCAAAGATTCTGCCGCTAACCACAGAGTTGTCTTTATTTGACTCATTGTCCAGCGCTTGGAGACCTCACAAGAACCTTTTTAAAGCATCTATTTATTGGTCTTCCACATTGTTACAAAACAAAGCTCAACTCTGCCCCAACTTCACACACCATTATGACATGGATCATTGACTTTAGGTCTTCCTTGTAGGCTCCCTTCCTGGCCCATTCACTCATGAAAGGTTTATTGCTCACTAGTTTACTGATGTGCATCTCCTGGAAGCTGCAGGGCAAAATGAGAGTCCTGTGAGGACCATCTACCTTGTCAGAAAGTCGTGGGACAAGCATTTGTTCCAAAAAGGAATTCAATACCAGCTACTGTGCAGGTCTAGCACGTAATAAACCAAATTAGATCATTAGAACTCTTTTAAGAAGGGCTTTTTCACACCACTTGGCACAATAAAAGGCCTCAAGAATGGTCAAAGATAAGGTCAGAGATACCACGAGGTCTCAGTAACTATTTCCTCGTCTTATTCTCAAAGTTTTGTTTTACACAGACTCCTGGTTTAATTACCTACAACCAAACACAGCCTCTGCAATGTCCTAAATCGATGCAGGGTTTCCTTTGCTTTGTCGGATACGCCTCCCTTACAAACGTTCGAGCTGGATGTGGCATTCCTATTAGTGAACTGCAGCAGCGTAATCACAGATTATTAATGGATATAACGACAGTTAAATAACTGGGACGGACACAAGAGAACACGTTAAAAAACCCCACTCTGAGGTTCGACTTTTATCGAGATTTACTGTCAGATTAGCTACTATGCAGTAAGCAGGCATTCATTCTTAAACTCTAAGGCAGGAGATCAACCGAGAGAAAGAGTCACTTACCGGATCACATTTGATAACTTGTGATAGGAAATGTGTGAGGCATTGATAGGAGAGGAAAGTGTTAGTGTTCCCCAGATGCAGGCCTTGCACAGCTGCTACCACACTGCCAGCTGCGATCATGGAAGGTGGGTTTGAAATAAATTTAATATCTGTATGAAGAAAGAAGAGAGAGAGAAAAAAAAAAAAAAGACTGAAATGATTGCTTTAGGAGAAGCCTGCCCAAAACAAT